CCTTGATTTATTCCAAGGCTTTTGGTGGTGTTGGATGGCTTTCTAACACCTTAGAATTGGATTTATGTCACATTTTGGGGAGTTTACGGCCCAAGCACTATCCTTGGCCGTAAACTCACATAAGTCCCACAAAATTCATGTTTCAAGTGTCCAAATGCTAAAACCAAGGTCCTACAATTCATATCTAAGCCATAGGAGTGATTTGGAAGGGTTTTAGGGCATGAAAAACCCCTTTTACTTGAGTTTACGGCCTAAGCTTATGCCTTGGCCGTAAACTCCTTTAATGGCTCAAAATCATAGTTTTAAATGTCCTAAGTCCATATCTTGAAGTCCCATAGCCATATCTAAAGTCCAATTGAGTTTAGGAAGGAGTTTAAGGGCTTAAAACCCCATTAAATGGAGTTTACGGCCCAAGCTTGTTCCTTGGCCGTAAACTCATGTTCTTGGACCTAAAACTCAATTATTTCATCAATTTGAAGGCTAAAGGTGTTGAATAACATGTTAGGGAGGTTACCTTAAAGATTTGAAGCCTTAAACTTGTGATTTGGACCTTAATTCTAGCTTGAGGAGAGAGGTTGTAAGAGTTTTAGTGAGAAACTTGCCAAAAGGCTTCAAATGAAGTCCTAAACACGTTTATATAGTGTTTAAGTTTTGGACACGGTGGAATTCTACCCGATACCGGCGTTAGACGGGGTATTTGGTCGTACCCGATTGAGTTACCGTAACCCGATACGGTAAATTCTAGAATTATTCCGATCACTAAAGTTGGGTGTTAAATTGATTTCTAAATGTATTAAGACACCCATTAAGTCATTTTAAATGTGTCCTGATTAATGACTTAATTAAACGGAGAAATCGGAAATCGGAAATCGGAACGACGATCGGTTGTGCGAAAGGGTTACATTAAAATGATGCGGAAATTTCGGGTTGTTACAGTAAGGTACAAAGTGTGAATTTCATGGGTTAGCACCAAATTCACATTATCCTAAGTAACTAAGATTGGGAATTTATAAGTGTCTAGTTACATAGTGTTTATCATTAATAATTTTAATGAAGGAAGAATTATAGTCATGTCAAACCTGTTCGGCTAACGACCCTCCACCAGTCAAGGAAGCGGTGGGTGAGAGTAGACACCCATTAAACTGCCATTTTATAGGCAGTAACCTTATACCCCCTTATAGACCGGCTTCGTGAATGAGGCCTACTAACGGTAAGACTGACTTTACTCTTATACATATATGTATAACTATTAACCATTAATATGATAAAAGTATAAGGGTTGAATTTTAACTTTTAAAATTCTAAGTGTCTAATTTGGAATTAAAGTTTACATGGGGAGGTAACTTTACAAATTCCAAAACTTGAGGGAAAGTTTTAAAACTATTCAAAACTATTGAATTTTCATAACTTATGAGTTTAATTAAAGTTTTAAAAAACCTTTTAATGAAGAGACTCTTGGACAACCATAACTTGAGGACAAGTTATAAAGTCCATAAAACTATTTATGAGAAAGAAAACTCTTCATTTTTGTAACCTAAGACACTTTTATGAGTTTTAAGACTCATAAATGTGACTTTTCATATAACTTGAGGACAAGTTACAAAAAACACATTTATAAATAACTTTTAGATCAATTTGGATTGAAAACAACTAACACATAACTTTTTTATTAATCTAAATTTACTCATAAAACAAGGCAACACAAAACTTTTGGTAATCCATAACTTGAGGACAAATTATGGACCCCATTAAATCAAATTTAGATCAAGAATTAACTAACAAACCCTTTTATAAATAATTCTTATGATCTACCAAAACTCATAAGTGTATGAACAATCCTATCAAAAATTTCAAGAATTACATAAATAAACATAAACTTGAAATTTTGATAATAACCTTGAAATTGGTTTACCATAATCATTACCACATCAAAAGCAGATTTTAAAAGTCCAAAACAGTTTAAGGTAATGATTCTAGACCAATTCCAACCTTAAAAGTCTAAAATATGTTGTCAGGGGCTCCTAATCGTCGAGTGTATGAACCTACTCGACGATTAGGATGATTTTATTCATGGAATCGGTGAGTTCATCAGTGGACTCGAAGAGTCTAGTGCCCAGACAGCCAGAAAATCAAGTTTTTCAGCTTTTTTCAGCAGTTTGCATCAAGTATAATTGAAAACCAGCCTAGGCTCTGATACCACTGTTGGGTTTTGAGCATTCTAACACTCCTAAGGTGTACATGCAACCCTAAATACCTTGGATCTACGTTTTCTCTATTATACATGCAAAGTTGAAGTTTCTAAGGTGTTACCATAGAACTAGCATACAATTGTCAAGAATCTAGTTAGGATAACACACCTCATGGTGGAGTTTGATGTCTTGATGTATCTAGCCTTAAGAGCTTAGCCCCAATAGTGTGGAAGCCTCAAGTGGAATCACAACACACCATGGACAAAATATGAACTTGAGAGAGAATATTCAAGCATCCAAAAACCACCATGAACTCCAAGAATCCTCAAGTTTCGATTTTGGGCAATGAAGTATGTATTTATATGTGGGATTTATAGGGTCATGGATATAACCCAAATCCATACCCATGGGTCTTATGATCCATGGTTCATGTGGCCCAACCTTTTATGTATCCATACATAAACTTGGTCCAACATGGATCATAAGCCCAACACATATAAATATAACTAATTAACATAATTAGCCCCTCCCCCCCCCCCCCATAGATTCAAATAGTCTATT